CAGGAATTGCAGACGCTAAGTCTGGACAAAATTTAAGAAACCCTTTGAAATTTTAAATTATGGCGCTATAAAGATAACGCAAAATGACGTCAAAATAGCCACCAGGAAAAGTTAACTCTTTCCTTGATAGGTATGTTTAGTGGGACAAGACTGCCCTCTATAGACCAAATAACTAATTTGCGATCTGGAAGATAACCACACCTCTAGTGCTTCTATTGGGTTATCAACTGATGACGTACAGAGAGTATGGCCCTTTAAAAGTTAAGACAAAGGGAAGGCAAGAGGAGATACAGAGGAGGCAGATGCAAGAGATGCAAAGAAAAAGAGGAGAGAGGAATTGGAAGTTTGGGGACTCCAACCTCCATGCAGAGAGAGACATCCAAATAAGTTCCTGAGGCTACCAATCGGATGAAATATCTACTCAACTGGTAATTATACTGGTTTCATTTAATTAAATTAAATTAATTAAAATGTATTAATAGCATTATATATGACTGGATAAAGCACGGTCAGATTTCCATATTAAGAAATCTTAGTTAACTAAGAATATATAGTTATAAACATTCCATTCTGCAGGTGGAATTAAGAATAATTATATATTGATGTGATATTATCACGTGTTAGCATACCGCTGTTTTTATCCAGGTGTATTGATTTGCTCTAAAAAAGATAGATATCTTTTAGACAAATTAAAAATCTGCTTATATAATGTGGTAAATTCTCTTATTGGATTATTTTAAGAAAATGGCTAATGAACTGGTTTAAATGTTATTTTATTTAAAAATTACATAAGAATAGATCTTAACTACCTAGGAGATCTAGCCAGCATTGAAAGGGTTATTCTAACTGTCTGCTAAACTTTACGACCTTACGCTGCACTCTGAGGAATTCTGTTCTCTGTGTGAAAAGTTTTACTTTCAGTCTGTGAAAGCTAGTCATAAATCGTCAGAATTCTTGACAGAAAATGCTAGTTAGCCATTGAAACGTAATACCCATTTCTTTGTATTGCATATAATTTTGTACTGGATATTCATTGATTATTGTCATGCATGTTACATAATATTATTTGTTAATTATTGGTTATCATAAATAAAATCTATTTTTATACATTGTGATATCAATTATATGAAATACATTCCACTTAACACGATAAACGTTCTTTGGGATCTGAGAATTGAAATAGTGGGCAATTCTCAACTGTTTACTATTATTATCCCATAAATATCCCCACAGGACCGACCGAAGGGCAGGCTATTTCAGCTGCTGCCCGTTCTCAGTATTCTCTTGCGACCCATTTTTGACTCTACAGGCTGTACACTTACTACTTTACATTGTAGCAGAGTGTAATTTCTTCAGTGTTGTCACATGAAAAGATATAATAAAATATTTACAAAAATGTGAGGGGTGTACTCACTTTTGTGAGATACTGTATATATGTTTTTCGAAAGAAAAAAAACCACCCCCTTAAAGAAATATCAGTGGTCCCTACTATAAATAGGTTTAATTTGTTTTTCCTATTAAAAACTTCCCCGAATGCCCCTATGGATGACCCTACAGTAGATATTACAATCCTAAATCATGCAATTATACTGTCATCCTATATAAAGTAACTAGAACAGAAAGGTATGGAAAGGGAAAGCTTCTCAAAATCTTATACAACATGAACATAACATTGTCAGTGACAAACTGCATCTGAAATGAAGGTAGATTGCACAGCAAGTAAAAATATATAAACATGTCTTTACATCCTCATCATGTAGGAAACGTGTACAAAAAGTTGGGTTTCTTTGTGATGCATAAATATTTGTGCACAACAAAGAGCATAAATAATTCATTTTATGTATGTTTAATGTACTGTCTCTTATCAAAACAGCTAAAAGGATATTTACAACGACTAAATATCAAATTATTTTGACAGTCTCTCCTCCTAAAAAGATTAGTCCATCAAACAGCTTGATAAAGGCTTCTGTGCAGGCCAAAACATTGCAATCCTGAGTGCCAGGACCTATTTTATTTTATGATAGTTAGTCACGGCATCAGTTATTTAAAAAAACTGTTTTCCTGCTTTTTTAGGAGAAGTCTATCCAGTTTACAAACATTTCTCTGTTCTTTTATAATCTGATTTTTTAGTAACAATTCCTTAGATTTAATATAGTATTTTCAGGGACACTGTTTTTATTGGGCAGACTACAAAATAGAATCCAGTTGAACAAAAAAAATATTTTATATGTTAAATTTTAATGTTTTGTGTCCGTCATTTAGTTTTTTTTTTTTTTTATAATTGAAGTTTATTGATTTTGGTTCAATGTATACATCCACAGTACATCGCATCACAGTCACATGTCATACATTATACATGGTCATCTTGCCTTTTATACAAAACTCAAAGTAAAACAGTTCTCGGCGGTTTTCCCCTCCCCTTCCCCCCTCCATTGGGTCTTAGGTAAGCTACCGGTGTCTATGTGTATGCCCATATATGAGGTATTTGTGGTAGAGGTTGGGGGGAGCATGGTCCTTCTCAAATGAGTTGGTCATCCGCTTCGTTCTGGGGTCTGGCAAGAGGGGAAATATTACGTGGTGCATGCGATAACATCCAGTAGTAACAGTTCTGCTTTGGCATACAAACAATGTAACATTCCTATCACATTTGAACAGTTAACCAAAAGTAAAGCGATAAAAGTGAAAAAAAAAAAAAAAAAGTAACATAAAATTAACGTGTAGTAGTCTAACTGTGAATTGGCTAGTAAGATCGGAATGTGGTATTGAGCTTGCGAGGGGTGCTGCTGTCTTTAGGGTCCCCTTCCCCGAGGGTCGAGGTGTATAGGGCCTCCCATGGTTCCCATATCTTTGTAATTGTACAATTAGCGTTCAGTGAGAGGATCGCCATAAGTTCGTATGCATAGTGGAGGTTAATTTTGTCTATGAGCGACTTTTTTGTGGGGCATATGCTGGATTTCCAATTAAGGGCTATAAGTGCTCTAGCCGCAAGGGCAATATGTGATATCAAGGCTCTCTCATGGAATATCACTCTAGGGGGGAACTCCAGCCAAAGATATATCTCTGGGTCTGTTGGCACCTCTAGCTGAAGTGCCGCCACCAGCTCTACCACCCTGGTCCATAACTGTTTAAGTTAAATGGGACATGGTGCCATTTTCTAGGCCACATTGCCAGCATACCGCTGACGCACTCCCATACATGCAGCTCAGTCTGACAGGGGTAAGGTACCAGCGATAAATAAGCTTGCGGTGAGCCTCTATCAGCGAGTAACACCTGGTAACGCCTCTCAGTGCATTTAGTCGCCTTATCCACCTCTCCTGTGAAACTACTCTACCAGTTTCTTTTTCACACTGCGACTCTAGTGTCATGGGGTTCCGGGATCCCGGGGCATTGAGGGCTCTATAGCAGCCAGAGAGGAGTTTGGGTTTCAGCGGTGATGTCCAGCATGAAGCCAGCAGTAGCCGTGTGTCACTTTCTATAGGAGTAGTGTCCTTCACTTCATAGTCTACGTGTTCTAGTATTACACTTTTGAGTTGCAGGTATGAGAGCATAAGTTTTGATGGTAGTTGGAATGTTTCCTGTAAGGTCAGGAATGGGATTAGCTCTCCCCCTAGGATCAAATGTGACAAACTTTTGACTCCCCTGTTTTCCTATTGTCGGATTGAAAGCCATGGAGATATAGCTTTTAGGGCTGCCAGTGGCACCAATCTGTGAAATTTAGAGTGTGAGGGTCTCATGTGGAAGGCTGACCATGCATCCAGCGACGCTCTTGTCGTTGGGTATAGGAGGGGGTGTGATTGTCTCAGGGAGGGGGTGTCCACATATGAACTATCAGTGAATCCCCTGGCATTTGCTTCCGTTCCATGTCTACCCAGCTTAGCATTCCGTGGGGTGCGTGGAGGTTGATTGCTTGAGCTGGTAAAGCCGCTCTGCTATATGCCCATACCTGAGGTACCCCCATTCCCCCCTCTCGAAATGGTCTCTGTAACACCTCCTTCGCTACTCTGGCCCTGCCTCCAAACCAGATGAAATCCATAAACAGTTTTTGTGCCTTCTCGCAGTAGCTTTTCGGGATTTGTATAGGGAGCATTCTGAAAATGTATAGTAATTTAGGTAGTGACATCATCTTAAGGGTATTTATGTGGCCCAGCCATGTGATTCGTACATCTCTCCAACCCTCCAGCTATTGTTGTAGGGTTGCCAGCATTGCGATATGGTTGTGTTGCATTAGTGTTATTGATTTGGTTATTTTCACTCCTAGGTAAGTTACATATTCTTCTCTCCAGTCAAACTAGATGAGGTTAGCGAGGATCGTCTGTTTGCTTCTAGGTACTTTAATAGGTAGTGCCTGTGTTTTGCCCGTGTTAAGTTTGTAGTAGGACACTTTTCCAAAGGTATTTAATAAGTCTATCAGCTGGGGAAGTGACCTTTCTGGACGAGAAAGTGTTAGGATGATGTAATCCGTGAAGAGCAAGAGTTTGTGGGCTTGGTCTCCGATTGAAATGCCTGTGATGTCTTGGGATTCTCGAATGAGCTGAGCTAGGGGATCCAGGCATAAAATAAACAAAAGGGGGGACAGGGCACACCCTGCCTGGTCCCGTTCGTGATGGCAAAGGGGGAGGGAGATAAAGCTGCATTGGAAACACTAGCTATAGGGCCGTTGTACAATGCCATTTTTGCTGTGATAAGCGGGGGAGGGTGTCTGAACCTCCTCATCACCTCCTCCATGTATAACCAATTAAGTCTATCGAAGGCCCTCGCTCGATTCCTCCCAGATGTGATGTATCACATTCAAGAGATGCCTGGAGTTATCCGAACCCTGCCTCCCTTTAATAAACAAGAACAATAAAGTAGACACACTATAATTATATAAAAATCATATATAAGGGAGAGATACCAGGTGTACCTCACTAACACGTAAAATTACATATAATAGAAAAGACAAAGTGGAAACCCCTCCCAAATACGTGATATTATAACAATAAATGTAAATAACCTGAGATATAGGTAATAATTCGCAGCCAGAATCTGTATGGAAAATTAAAAAGCTATGTTAGCTTTTTAATTTTCCATACAGATTCTGGCTGCGAATTATTACCTATATCTCAGGTTATTTACATTTATTGTTATAATATCACGTATTTGGGAGGGGTTTCCACTTTGTCTTTTCTCCCTTTAATAAAGCCTGATTGATTGTAGTGTATGAATTTAGGTAGGATTGAGCTAAGTCTGTCTGCTATTATTTTGGCATATAGTTTTGTATCTATATTGAGTAATGAAATTGGTCTAAAGTTCGGACAAACAGTCGTTTTTTTTCCCGGCTTTGGTAGAGTAGATATATGGGCTAGGAGCATTTCCCTAGGAAGGGTACCTTTTTTGAAACTGTCATTGAACAGGGTCAGTAGGTGAGAGCTCAATTGGCTGTGGAACGTCTTGTAATAGGTAGCTGAGAGGCCATCTGGTCCCAGGCTTTTTGCTGTGGGTAAGGCCTTAATATGGGTCTGTATTTCCTCGAGTGTGATAGGCATAAGGAGTGTCTGTGTGTCTGTTTCTTGTAGTCTGGGCAGGTGGAACTTATCTAGGAATGTGTTGATCTCATTCTGGGTTGGGACATGGGTCGAGGGGTCATCCCCAAGGTTATACAGTGAACTGTAGTATTTGGAGAATTCTTGCACGATTGCGTCTGGGTTTAATATCCTGTCTCCTCTTGTTGTGTGTATATATGCAATCTTAGTGGCTAATGCTCTTTTTTTTTTTAATTGTGAGGCTAGAAGAGCTCCAGCTCTATTACCCTGTTCAAAGAAGCGCTGTTTGAATCTGCGGAGTATGAAGTTTGTTTTAACCAGTTCTATTTCTCCTAGTTGGCGCTGTATGTGTTTGAGCTCCTTCACTTGTTGGGGGGATGGATCTGCTTTGTTTAATGCGGATATTTCCGTCAGTTTTTTGGTAAGGTCCAAATACGTTTTAAGCCTTTGTGCTTTAGCATAACTAGCGTGTTTAATCAAAACCCCTCTAATGTAGGCCTTGTGAGCCAGCCAGAGCGAGTCCAGCTTGGTTCCTGGTACCTGGTTAGTGCTAAAGTATAGGTTTAGTTCATCCCAGATATCTGCAAGTATGTGTGGATTAGTGAGCAGGTGTTCGTTCATGCGCCAAGAGCCCCTACCTTTATTGGGGAATTGTTCTCCCAATTGGAGCATCACTGGCGCATTATCAGACCATGAGATCAAGCCTACCCCGTCTCCTGTACTCTCAATGTCATCGAGCTGTGTATAAAGAATCTGTCTATACGTGAGTAGGAGTTGTGTGCAAGCGAGTGGAACGAGTAGTCCCTCCCCATTGGGTGTGTCACCCTCCATGGGTCTATATATCCATGGGTTAAGAGGGATTGGTTCAGTTTTCGTGTTGTGGAACCTCTGTGTGTCGCCGTGGTTTGAGCTACTGTCCCTGAGGACATAACGTCCAACTGATCATCTAGAATAAAATTTGTGTCCCCTCCCATGATCACTCCCCCCAGATTTGTCTATCTTTTGAAAAATTGTGTCTAAGAAGGCGGGCTGATCAGTGTGTTGTCCATATATATTAACTAGCGTGAACTGTGCGTTGTTAATAATGCATTGGATTATCAAATATCTGCCATTCTTATCAGCGTGTTTTGCCACCAACGTGAAGGCAACTTCTTTGCTAACTAGGATTGAGACTCCCCTTTTCTTTTTAGAGTAGCAAGTGTGGAAGTCTACCGGGAATTGCGGGGAATTGAATTTAGGTCTGTGGCCCCATTTAAAATGTGTTTCCTGGTAATATGCTATGTGAGCGTGTGCCCTTTTTGCTTCCTGTAGTGCCAGGCATCTCTTGTGTGGTGAATATCAACCCTTTCGTGTTAAGAAAATGTTAAGCACCATTGCTCTGGGAAGTTTTGAAAGCTGAGACTAGGGAAATAACAGCCCGTGGTGTATATATAGAAAAACATTCATTATCCATTTTCCTATGTGCAGCCTACCTTCCACATAGGACATATTTGCAGACATTGCGTACCAGCCATAGATAGACATTATACTTAATAAAAAGAAAAAGGATAAGAAAAGGAAAATAAAGTAAAAGGTGTTAAACCAAAAATGAACTATGTACAGGTGTCCCCAAAATCTGGATAACCTCAACCGAGGCATCTGAGTACAAACCAGGGACAAAGACAATTTGACAGTGTGAACGTATCACACCGCAGTGGCTCTATTTTGAGCCTGGTGAGGGTTTGGGTAATAGGGTAACAAAGAGATGTGCGGGCAAAGGCCTTCGCACGGAGTCTCGCCTATTACGGCCTCCTTGACACAACGGTATTGTAACTTCTGAGTTAGTGGGGTTTTTGGGGTTTTTTTTTATGGTTTTTTTATTTATTATTTATTTATTTATTTTTAATAAAAAAAAAAAATTATGTTGTATTTTTTAGAGAACTTAGCAGGTGAAAGAGAAAATGAGATTATCAGTTTGTAAAGAGAGGTAATACTACACCCATTCCGTGGCAGCATGTAGCTCCTGGAGGTGCGCAGGATTGCTGTTTGATAGTATCAAGGTGGCGATTCACTTGGCGGATGCCACTTTTTGCCAGTCCCCTGTAATTCTGGTAGCCGAGGGCTCCGGGTCCCCGGCTGGCGGAATACTTGCTTGGAGCGGAATGTTTCATTGTGTCAGTATTTTCTGTCCTTCTTCTGGCGATGCGGCAATCCTGTCTGATCCGTTCTTGTGGATGATGAGGCGGGTGGGAAATCCCCATTTGTAAGGCATTTGTGCCTCTCTTAGCGCCCTGGTGATGGTACCAAAGGATATTCGCTTTGCTAGCGTAGCTGGAGATAGGTCCGCAAAAAGTTGAAGGCCTGCATATCTTCCTGCCAGTCGTGCAGGGTCTCTGGCCGCCTGCATCAGCCTCTCTTTGGTAGCAAAGAAGTGGACACGGACTATGGCATCTCTGGGTGCCGCCATGGGGATGTTCGGCAGTTTCATGAGCCTGTGAGCTCTGTCTAGTTCCAATTCCTGGGCTGAAGCATCTGGCAGCAGGGCTTGAAATAGCTGGGTTAGGTATGGCTTTAAGTCTTGTGCCTTGACCTCCTCTGGGATGCTGCTCAGGCAGATGTTATTTCTGCGGGCTCTATCCTCCATGTCAGTGACCTTAGTGTCTAACACTTGCAGTTTTGCAGAGAAGTTAGTATAGGCCTCAGCCAGACTGTTATGTACCTCTATGATCTCCTCTGTCTTGTCTTCTAGATGAGCTGTGCGCTCCCCAATTGCTTGAACTTCCTTCCTAATGTCTGCTGCTAGTTTTTGAAAATCTGACCTGATAGTAGTCTTCAGATCTTCCAGCAGCTTAGGAATATTGGTTTCCCCAGCCTGTAAAGCAGTGGCCCGTGAGATTGAGGTTATGTCACTCCGTCCTGACTCACTGCGTTCTGATTCTGAGGTAGGGGAGCGTGTCCCTCCGGCGCCATTTTGGATGCTCTTGCCTGGCGAGGAGAAGGCCGTGATCTGCATCGAGGGTGCTTTGCTCTTGGATTTGCGAGCGGTTTTGCTTGCCATGATGGCTTGAGGGTGCAGTCCATCGGTAGGTGTTTATTTGTGTGCGTGTTCCGTTGTTAGCTGTATGGAATCATGCTAAATTGCTGGGGGGTTTTCGGCGGAGCTCTCTGCTTATGCGTCCGTCTTGGCCCGTCATTTAGTTTTTATAGCAAAATACTTAAACAGTATAAATACTTTCCTTTTTAGTTTAATAAGATTTAATTTTCTAAATCATATAGCAGCAACAGACCGTCAGAATGTCAATTGATACATTTTATGTCATGTGTATTATGGGACAGAAGAGAAACTTATTTTATCACCAGCAATCTTGTCACCAAGCAAAATCTCACTCACCCATCAATGTCTTTACTGTCTAGCAGCAAAACCAGTAACAACTGATAATAAGACCAGGAGCTGATAAAAATATATACCAATCCAGAAAAGACATATCAAAATAATGAAATATAAGTACTAAACCAAGTACAATGTGAATCACTACAAAGTAAAGTCCTCTTATATATAGTCACAAATATGGATATGAGGTTGAAAAATCTTATCTTGTAACATACTGTGCTTGGTGCTACTAAGCAGAAATAAATTGTAGCAAATGTCAAAGTACTGCTTGCTGTCTATTACAGTACCTCACAGAAGAAACTAATACAGTGGGTACGTAGAATCTCAATGTGTAGAAAAGCACTTTAAACATCAAATAGGTAGTGAAAAACAGCAATAGGCAGAGTAATGTGTTAAAAATATGTAAATAGAAAAAAAGACAAAAAAACAATGTGTTATCTATAAAACTGTTTGGTTTGTTATTTTCCATTTGAGGTTTTGTATGGTAACCTCATGATCTGTTTCTAATTCTAGAACAATATTGAGTTAATATACCCAATTTTCTTCCTCTTGCTGGTTAGAATTTCCCTTTTTTTTTCTTTCTCTTACCTACTTATTTGTTAGTGCATCTTACTGTCAAGCCTACAATTTACAAACATTAAGTATGGTGCTGAACACAAAGTTTGCCATAGTTGATCAGCCTTTCTTTAAACACGAATTCTGAGTGGGCTTTAGGATTTAATGAGATGTATTGTCACAATTCCTAAATTATATTACTTAGATTTCTTTAATTTACATGTTTCCGTTCAGTGTTTGAAAGCGTTTAAAATGTTTAGATGTGAATTGTTCATGTAGGACTCACCTTAGAGGTTTTGCCTTGATGTGGCAGTTGAGCTTACACTTTAATGGCCACTGCAGTGATACTAAAAAACTCCAATTATTTAAATGCGCATAAGGGTTTGGGATAATGATATATATATATATTTTTTTTTTATTGTATGTTTTGGGGCAGATGTGCACTCGTCATTGCTGCCGTCTAGAAGTAGTGGAAGTTTGAGTGCAGGGCTTAATTTTGTATGTTTGTATTTGCTTTAGTATTACACATCCATGTTACAATGCTGTCACCCACCCCACGTGTCCCCTATAAGGGTTAATAAGTATGTAAGAGTTTAAAAAAAAATACTCCAGTATATCTCATTAGAGATTTTGCCCGTTAGCTGAAATCAGC